TAGCAAACTAAATTATGACTTCACAGTTATTACTGATTGAGACACAGCTAAATAAAAGAGTAACTCAATTTAAAATGAACTGAAAATCTATTACGTAAGTAGGAGACAGAACCGGCGAAAGTCATAAAGGTGGTATGTGAATGAGCAAAGTCTGGGAAGCATGGGAAGTCTCTATTTCAGAATCCTTTCAGCTGATGGCAAAAGAATCTATTGGGAAGCAGAAAGAAAGGGCTAATGAGACTGCAATTTAGTCTGTAATTCTCAGTCTACAATTCCTCCCTATGTAATTTTTCCTACCCAGAAATACTTTTCTCTCAAATTACTTGTCTTTTGACATTCTACATTGGGAACTCCACATACTTAAAAGGAATGGAATAAGTCAGTGTGGAATTTGATTTTGAAACTATCAAATGATTTAAAAAAATGAGTAATTTATTTAACTATATTAAAAAGTTCTCACTGCCTTCTAGATGTACTTACATTTTTCAGGTGGTGTTATTGTAATTGTCTGAGCTGTAAATTCTTCATCAAAATATCTGGTATCTGTCTCAGATGTTACTTGAGGCTTAAAAGGAGGTACAAGCTACAGGAAGAAAGAAAAAAGGTACTGTTAACAGATTTTAACTCAGGAAAATCCATACCAAGGATAAAAATAGAGAGAAAATAATTAAATGAACATTGCAAAAGACTAGAAGGCTGGTAGATGTGGTACTGGACTTCCCAGTCAGCAGTCCAAACACCAGTGGGTACTTGGTTGCTCTCTATAAAATTTAAGAGATTATGTGTGAAACAGAACAAGGGAGAACCACAGAATAGAGTGGAAGGAGAATGTTGAGGAATCTGTCCTTTTTCCCATAACAAACACACATACAAAATCATACGAATGTGGACCTCTGCAACAAAATGTAAGTTCTTCCTTGTGCCTAAGAGGACAACTTTGCTGGATTTTCCCTTCCTGGTACCTGGCCGAGCAGGTTACTATTAAAAGCATAATTTAATAACACAGCTATTCCCTGTACAGATAGAGTGCTGTCTCTGTACTTCACAAAGAACTGTAACTGCTCTGCTTGAAAGGTGGAAGTCAATGCCTGCCCCTGCCCTGGCATGGGAATTCTTGGCAGCCCCTGACATGACTGAAATGCAAATGTTTTGTCGACAGCTTCCATCAGATCCTCAGCAGGGGCTATGGCCCCGAAGGAGATTCAGGGTAACGACTCTGGAAGTTGGGAGAGCTGAACTCATTGCCTAGGACCTGCAATGGGCAGAGGGGTGGGAGGGGAGGTCCTGGGTTGCTGGAGGTTATGGAGACCTGAGCCATGTGAGTCTCCACCTCAGCAGCCTCCACCAGCCAGGAGGAAGCAGAAGCCAGGGCAGCAGCTCCCTTTTCTAGGGTGCAGGCCTTGAGGGGCAGGCGGACCCTACAGGTTTCCTTTTAAGACAGGAAGCCCAGTCCTAGGGCTGGAGTGGGCCCACGCTCTGATGAGTACCATCCAGGACAGAAGACACCATTTTTGGAATAAAATTCTCACGTGGATATGAAAACAGAAAATAGAATGACAGAAATTAGTATGTTTTATAAAAATTTTACAGAAACAAAAACACACAACTGGCTTTAGATCAATGCATTTTCCCACTCTGTCACCAAATTTATGTTAAATAATTAGGCAAAAATCTTTAAATTACTCTCTACACAGAACATGTTTTTAAAAATCACGGGATGAGTGCAATTTGAAGCATGTTTTCAAAATAAAGGACCACATTTCATTTTACGGCACAGGTTACAAAGCACTTTTCACCTCTTTTCTTTTTATCATTTTTTCCTGTTTGCCCCTAATACACAGCCGTTCTAAGTCTCCAGAATTAGCAAGTGCTCTATCGGGGATCAAACCAAATTCAAGTTCCATTTATCAGCTAGTAATAGCTACTAAGGAACCCTGGTGGCTGCTAACCAAAGGCTGTGGTTCAAACTCACCCACGGCCCCACGGGAGAAAGATGTGGCAGCCTGCTTCCATAAAGGTTACAGCCTTGGAAAACCCATAGGTCAGTTCTACTCTGTCCTTTAGGGTTGCTATGAGTCGGAATCGACTTGACAGCAGTGGGTTGTTTGTTTTAATGTAATAGGAACTAAAGAGTAATATGGCTCCTCTCTCGGTACCCTTTAACTCCCCCACCTGGAACAAGCTCCTCTACCAGTGTTTAAGAGAAACCTCCTATTAGGCCACAACATATTTCTCTCCAGCTGCTGTTAGGACAACTTGACATAAGCAAGCAGTCCACTCCACTGATGGAAATCTTCCGTCTTCCGTTCAGAAACAAGTGCCTTCTCTTCACTAGCATTGTACGTGTGCACACAAAAACACCAAAGGTGATGTATACACTGGAGCATTTTTGGGTTTCTTTTTAGAAACCCTGAGAGATAACTGCCCCCTACCTGGCAGGAAACTGGGCAACTGAGCTTCTGGCTGTGATCTTCCTCCTGACTCTACATTCTACAGATGTTCACAAAACTAAGCATTATCCTTCTGCTCAAAAACTTACCACAAGAAATTCTTTAGCAAAAATGGGCTTTTATTGGGCATTTGGAATAGTTTTGCTTACTGCTGACCCACCTTTACTGTGCACTTGTTTCTAATGTCAAAAATCTAAACATGCCTTCAGTTTAGGGGAAAGTTTCTGTTCATTTAGACAATGAGAGAGAGAATGGTCATCTGTAACTTTTATAAAAAAACAAAATTTAAGATAGTTTTCAAAAGATTCCATGGGAGCTTAACATCAAATTCAAATGTAATGTAATCACACATGACTTCCCTGACCAACTACGTCAGCTACCCTTCCCATCACTTTCTATTCTTCCACTATTTTTTCTTCAAAAAGATTTTTCAACATCTCATACATACATACACGCTCACTCTCACATATGCAAAATATACATACAGTTGATTATTGTCACCATCATTGTATCTTTCCCCCCAATAAATGTAAGTTCCACGAGGGCAGGGACTTTGTTTTTGTTTTTTTAAACAGTTTTACTTAGGTGAAATTGACAAACAATAAACTCCACATGTTATGAGTATACAATTTGATAGTTTTGACATTTATGTGTATGCCCATGAAACTACCACCACAATAAAGATGATGAACAGCCATCACTCCCAATGTTCTCTTGTGCCTCGTTTAATCCCTTCCCCACCCTCATGAACCCAGTAGGCAACGACTGATACGTTTTCTGTCACAGTATATTAGTTTGTATTTTCTAGAATTTTATGTAATTGAAATCCTGCGTTTTCTTCTGGAAGGTTTTACACTTAGAACTATGAGCCATCTTGAGTCAACTTTGTATATGGTACAAATTCTTTTTTTTTTTTTGCATGGACACTTAATTCTTTTAGCATTTTGTGGATTTGTCTACTTTTCTTTGCAGTTCTACTAGTTTTTGCTTCATGTATTTTAAAGTTTTGTTATTATGTACATAACTTATTAAGACTATTACGTCCTCTTGATGAACTGACACCTTTATCATTATGAAGTGATTCATCTTATCTTGGGTAATACTACTTGCTTTGAAATCTACTTCATCTAATATTAATATAGCTACTCCAGTTTTCTTTTGATTAGTGCCAGCATAGTGTATCTTTTCCATCCTTTTATTTGTGTCTTACATTTACAGTAGGTGTCTTATAAGCTGGATATATGTGTTCTTGCTTTTTATCGTCTGACAATCTCAGTCTTTTAACTGGAATGTTTAGATCATTTACATTTAATGTGATTATTGATGTATCTGTATCTCTCTATATAGATACATACCAGTTGCTATCAAGTCGACATCAACTCATGGTGACCCCATGTGTGCAGAGTAGAACAGCACTCCATAGGGTTTTCAAGGCTGTGACCTTTCAGAAGCAGATTGCCAAGCCTTTCTTCCAAGGTGCCTCTGGGTGGGTTCGAACTGCCAATCTTTTGGTCAGTAGTTAAGTGCTTAACTGTCTGTGCCACCCAGAGACTCAAATTATTGATACATTTGAGTTTAAATCTACAGTCTTGCTATTTGTTTTCTACTACTCCCATCTGGGACTTTGTTTCATTTAGTGATATATCCCCAGTTCCTACTACAGTTCTTGCTACAAATTAGCACTCAATAATATTTACTGAATAAATGAATAAATCTACCCTTAGTCTATCCTTTTAGAGGTGAGAAAATTGAGGCTGATATTGGTAAAATGGCTTACCTAAGATGATACAAATAACAACTGTACCCATGTATCCTGATCCCAAGCTTGTTCTATGACAGCACTTACAATAGGAAGACTCTGGATGAAAGCTGCTTTTTGCCTTTGCTTTTTCAGACATAAAGTCAAACTTTTATGCTGAGGGACATCACTCCTCTACACACACACACACACACACACAGAGTAGTAGGAAAAGACAACTCAGTGAACTATGACCATCTATGAAGACCCTAAATTATGTGCATGGGCAAATTTGTAGGGGAGGGCTAGCAAAATAATTGCTACAGTACTTGAACAAAAGCATTCCCATCAGAAACCATTGGGAATACTCAAAGACTTTGGATTTATAACAGATTTCCCAGTCCGTAATACTGTAAATAAGACTTGAAAAAAAAAATTCAAATATTGAATTTTACATTTTGGTTTTAAATCAGTATCTTCATCTCTTCTTTCTTTTCTTCTAGATACATCTCTCAAAACACTCCTGCATCAGTGGACACAATGTAAACTCCCATTTAGAACTGAAAAAGTACTGACAAAAGTGAGAAGCTCTGTAAATCTCAATTACTTTTATGTGTTAATTCAATGGATGGTCATGTACCTTTAACTGTAAAATAACACACTTTTCTGACAAATGCATTCAACTTGGAATAGATCTTTCTTTGAAAGCGAATTTTTCTTCATAAAATGTAGTTCCCAATGATCTAAACAGGAAAATAAGGGTGCTGGGTTTAAGACATGTCTTTCAGTTTACTGAAAAGGTATCTTTTGAAATTGGGTTTACTTGTGCAACCTCAAGTCCATAGAGTGGCAGCAAACTTGCAGCCCCTTAAATCCTTTCATACTGATTTAACATTTAAAATTTTAAATGTTACCAAACTCCTCTACCATTTGCTATCTTTCTGAAACTAAATATTATGTTTTTCTTTTCAGTGTAAGTAACAGAACAGAGAGAAAAATTTTCTTAAACTTGTTAAAATAAGTCACGTTCACTACTTCTGGGGTGGCTAGAAGGACAGCACAGGTGTCCTTTGAAGATTAGTTTCCCCTGACCTTCCTCAGCGACAACATATACCGCTAGGTCTCTACATTCTTTATTTTCAGTTCCAGATGCTTTGGGAACAGAAAGCAGGGATTGAAACTTGCAGTGAAAGCTGACGTAACATAAATTATAGTACCTTATATTGCCTTAGGAGCCCTGGTGGTGCAGTGGTTAAAGTGCTTGGCTGCTAACTGAAAGGCTGGAGGTTCAAACCCACCAGTCACTTTGTGGGAGAAAGATGTGGCAGTTTGCTTTGTAAAGATTACAGCCTTGGAAACCATATGGGGCAGTTCTGCTCTGCCCTATAGGGTCGC